AAAAAAGGCTTGGTTCCCTGGGGTAAACCCGCACCATTTTTAAATCCAATTGAAAGAAACCCATATGAAAAGCAATATAGACAAGGCTTAAAAACAAAATATTCTTAAACTTATCATCAGTTTTCACCAAAGAATAAAGAAAGCCCCAAAAAACTATATACTCCAAGATTCACAGACACTACAGGGGATATAAAAAAAAACCTGGAAAACACTCCTCAGATTCTAGGGGGCCCACAAACTGAAAAAAAAAACAAGAAATTGTCCTAATAAACCTAATGAAAAACCCACTACATCCCCCGACACAGCTAACAAGATAAACGATTCTTTCAACCCTAGGAAATTTCCGCCCAAAAAATCCCAAAAAACCAATTTCCCCTGCCGGGGGACTACCTAGTGGGGAAATTTCCAAATTCTTTCTATCTTGCACCCAAAGGCCCCCGGAAGTCACCGGATTAAAAAAGTCACTTAAAAACAACCAGGGAACTATTAATGTCCCCCATTATGTACAAACGAGCGGGCCCATTTCCCCTTTACATGTATTTCATTACTTTTTAACAAAATCACAAACTAGCACCTTCCCAAAACTACTCAAATGGGAAAGGGGTTTCACCAATACTAAAGGTGGGACCCCCAAGACTTAAAAAATTTAAGGGCCCAAAACAACTTACCATTGCTATCCAAAATCTTTTGGAAACTCGTGCACAGGAGACTTATTCATTTTAACGCACAAAACATACTCAACCCTGCCCAAATTTGGGTTTAGGAAAAATAAAGCACTAATGATGCAATCATAAAATGTGATCTGCTTTACCCAGCATTGGAAAAAAAAGGAATATCCACTAGGAATTTTTATTGATAAGAAAAACTTTTGACACAAACCATACATCCTACTCCACAAACTTGACCCTTAGGTTATGAGGGGAGGCTTGCTTATTTAAATTTCCTTACTAAAAGGTATCAGTATGTTACCATTAAAAAACACAGCATCAAAAACACGCCATTGATACTGAGTTCTGCAGGGAAATGTCTTTGGGCCCCTCTCTTCCTATATAACAATAATTTCCAAAAGCATCCCAAAACCTGAAACCCATTCTCTTTTCGACGACAGATTATGTTAGGTAAGACCATATGCAACGTTAGGTATTATCAACTTTTCTGTATTGATGAAGAAAACCTATGTTAGGGGAAACGTTTATAATAAAGATACCCAACTGTTGCAATTTTTGCTTACCTAACAACCCCGCGGTATTTTTTCCTTTAAATGTTCGACATGATTTTTGTATTTCACCCTAATCTTGCCACCTCAACACCATTGTTAACGGGAGCTGATCAAAATATCGACTTGGATGAAGCCCCAAAAAACTTACGTTAACACTGACAAACCTCTATTTTATGTTTTTGGGGGCAGAGCAGGAGATGAAAAATTAAACATTAAGATCGACAAAAACTCTAATTTAAAAGGCATAATGAGGGCAAATTTCCCAGGCCTATACCTTTACAAAAAACCTGAATTTCAGCCCCATATCCAACACATAACCCAAAAAAATATCCAAACCAGATGGGATCCCCCTATGTATGATCTACGTGCCGCAAAATGCCCCTTTTCCCCACCACTCACTTATTTTCCATACCTCACCCAGCTATTTGTGCTTGGGATCAAATGCGCAACACACCTAAAGCCCAAAAATAACCCCAAAAAAAGTGCGTAAGAATATCACTAAATCCCCTCCTGGCAAAACCCCCCCCCCCCTTTCATAGATCTAAACTTACTCCCCGTTCAGAACATCCACACTTATACGTGCATCTACATCTATAGGGCCCCTTTAAAATCCAAAACAACCTTGACCTAAAAAGCTTTCTTGTAGTTGTGACAGAACTCACAGGCATAACCCAGCACAAAATCTCTACGACATTCCCCCTGTCGACTAAACCCTTTTAAAAAAATTCAATGTATGTCAAAGGGCCCCAAAATCTGGAAAAACCCACCTGAGAACTCTAGAAAATGCGACAATTCACACCTTTAAAACTACCCTTAAAAAAATCTTATCTCCCTGATACACCCCATCAACTAACTACACGAAACCCCCTGGGGGTTTTATACTTACACTCACTCACCCATTTGACCATAAACAGAAAAATTTTAAATTTAATCTTTAAAAAAATGAATCCTATATACTCAATGCTGAAACTTGTACTGTGCCAAAACAAACATTCACATTGCTAAACTCACAAACTAGTATTTAGTCACTTAGCCATAATACCAACTTACCTCATAATTTGTAATATTTTAAAATAAAGAATTAAACTAAGTCTGCCCGAAATGCCTAGCCATGCTAGGCGTTCTAGTGGTACACTCTGTAATCATTATTTAACTACATGTAAACCACACAACAACCAAATTCTGTAAATTAAACATTGTAATCTTTATAGAGAATAAACTTTGAATTTGAATTGAATTTGAATCAGCAAAACTAGTCATTTAATGATGGGGATGACTAGGCATAGCATTAAGTAATGCATTAATTAGAATATTGAACAGTGTGGGACTGAGCACACCTCCCTGTGGTGTTCCTAATTCAAAGTCTTTAGTTACACTTCTATGTCCCTGGAACAACACAGACAACTTTCTGTTGGACAGATAGCCTTTAATCCAGCAGAGAAGCCATCCTCCAACATCCATTCTGGCAAGTTTGCTAATGATTATATGTCGGTTGGCTACATCGAAAGCAGATTTAAGGTCAAGGAAGGTAGTGTATGAGCTGTCAGTGTGCAGGGTGAGAAAGGTGGCTATGCAATGATGCACGCTCCTTTCATGCATGAAACCATGCAGCTGGGGAGACAAAAATTGTTTGATTCTGTACATGAGACTATTAAAAATCATTCTCTCAAATGTTTTACACAAGCAGCTAGTAAAAGATATTGGGCGAAATGCATTTTGTTGATTGGGCTTAGGAATTGGAATGATGAGGCTGTTGGTCCAAGATTGAGGACCCAGTTACATAGCTCATGTTATATAATTCAAGTAATGGATTACCTGGTACTCGACACAGCAATCTGAGTATGTTGTAAGTAATACCATCCTCACCAGGCGACGTGGAGTTGCCCTTAGTTAGTGCTGCATCAAGTTCATAATTAGTGAAAGGAATGTTGCAGTCATCATCCTTGCTGAGCATAAAGCAAACAAGTCTCTCCCTTGCATCATATTTGTCATTTAATTTTGCCTGTGTGGTACTGGGAAGATTGTCATAGCTAGATGTAGCAGCCCAAGCACTGACTAACTCATTCGCCCTGTGTAAGGGATGAGGGTGCACGATCTGCCCAGTTCTGTTACCCTTAATTCTATTAATGTCCCTCCATGCCCGGCTAAGTGGGGTGTGAGCATTAAGACCGTTGACAAATTTTTCCAGTCTGTTTTCCGCAGCTCTGTCATACGCTCTCTGGCAGCAGCAAGGGCAGTTTGAAAGAGCCTCAGCATTCCAGGGGTACGATGTTTTCTATAGGTTAGGCCTAGTCTGCGAGCAGTACGTTTCAGTGTATGAAGTTTAAAATCATTGTAATAAGTATGGTTTTTAAAGGAGGTATGATTTTTATGGGAAGATTGTTTGGGGGTTTAGAGTACCAAAAAGGTTTAGTGGCTCTAAGTTGTTCTGAAAAAA